GTTTACACTGTCAGGTTTTACCGACCTTAATGTGAACTCTCTCTCTCTCTCTCTCTCTCTCTCTCTCTCTCTCTCTCTCTCTCTCTCTCAGCCCTTACCTTCATCCGCTCTTCTTCTTTTGACGAGCCTCATGTGGACTCTCTCTCTTCTCTTGTAGATGACGGACAAGCGCTCGGACAGCTTTAAGCTTGCGGTGCAGCAGGCGGATGGAGACGCCTGCAGCGTGAACGAGTACAGGTGTGTCAAGCGCGACCCGGACACGTGCTTCATGCGCATGGTGCGCAAGATCGGGCGGGAGTTCCTCACAAGTGAGATGGATCGGCGGTACTACGCCGACCACTACACGTGCTGCCCGCCGCCGCTCTTCATCATCTCCGTCACGTTATTAGAGGTAAGCAGCGCGACAATCCGGAGTTCCGGGGCGATGCGATTCCGGTTTCGGGGACGGTGAAATTCCGCGTTCAAGTGTGGTGGGATTCCGGGTTCAAGTAGGGTGGGATTCCGGGTTCAAGTACGGTGGTATTCCGGTTTTTGGTTGGGATTTCGGTTTTGGGACGGTTGGATTCCAATATCCAGGTAGTGACAGTTCCGTTTCAGACATTGTATAACCTCCGTTGCGGACATTGTTATGGCCTTTTCCGACTCACGTTCACCTTAGGCCACAATTAAAAAATCTTTGTTTGCCATCATCCGACCCAGGCTGAAAAGTTTGGGTAGGTAGGTAGGCTTTTTTTGAATGGGCTTTTTTACAAATTCAGCATGGTGTCTACATGCTCGGGTGTGCTTGTGTGGAGATACATTTTATGTTGAATGTTTGTTTTGCTTGGTACATATAATATATTGCCTACAGATTGATATAAAATAATATGAAATGATACAATTTGTAAAAAAAGGAATGGGAAAGATCTATAATTTTTTTTGAGTCAGCCCCTTTTTGGCGGGTCGGTCGGGTGAGGGCAAAGACACAATATTTTTGTTATGACCTTAGTACTGCTGTAAACCACGATCACAAATTTCTGTACTGCTGGTGAGCATGTGATGCGATGATGTGATAGCCTTCATCCCTGCATGTGTAAGTTTAGCTTCGTTAATAGTCTTTTGTATAGCTGAATACATCACGTTCGTTAAATACTTTAATGCAAATTTTAATTAACGTAATTTACTTTGCTATCTGTAAAAAATTTATAGCAATATGGAAATTAGGTACAGTCGATAAGATATTAGTCCATTTTTAATTCAAGGTGATGGTCAAATATTCATATTTTATGCTGATGTACGTCATGCACATGATGAAGGCACCCATGCGTAGTTTTATACGTGAATGGTTTCACATTGATTTAATTTTTTTTACTCAATGAAATCCATGCGCAGAGCCTCAGAGGGAGAAGGTGAAAGAGAAAGAGATTTCGTGCACTCTCCTATACTGTTCTCCTGATTAATGGGATGTTGTTTGTAGGCCATCCATATTGGCAGTATACGTATTTGCGCAGCTTTATGTGTTCTCTAGCACTTACTGCAGCCAGAACCTATATACCCCCCCCCCCCGCGCAACATGCGCACGTACGCAGCATTCGATATTATACAGTTAACATTACATGTGCCTACGGCTTTATGCAGCCACGACAATAGTTTTTCGATTCAGTGTATAGTATCCTGCAAATCTTTCACCGTCTAATTGAAAAGTAGAGGTCGCTAAAAAAAATTCCCGCATATTGCTTTTTACTGTGCCTTTGTCAGAACATCACCCGATGGCTGTTTAAGTAGCGTAGCTGATCAATATGCGACGCAGTAGCGCCACCAATCGATTACGCTGGCACAGTAGCAATAGCTTCCACTCACATTTTCGTGTAAACTTCATATAATTCTCACGAGTGTGTTTTTGCTACTAATTTTCATGAACAGGTATTGTGGTCTCGCGCCCGCACATGCACGCACGCGCACACACAAGCACGCATTCACACGCGCGCGCGCGGCACACACACACACACACACACACACACACACACACACACACACACACACACACACACACACACACACACACACACACACACACACACACACACACACACACACACACACACACACACATATATAGTATATCATATTATAGAGCAGAGAGAGAGAGAGAGAGAGAGAGAGAGATAAAGTATGAAAATAAGTGCGTTATATTCTAGATGGCGCATCGATGGCCATCGTATGTTTTTATCCACTTTCGAATGCGTGTTGTAGCAGACGGGTAAGCTATAAGTGGGAGGCACGCTGGCATGTAGAAGCAACTGGTTGTTGAGGAAGGTGTGGCGTACGATGGCATTTACCGGCGCTCACCAGTACAGACGGTGGATGCGAGGTTATTGAGGGGTCGCTAATGAGATTGTAATAACACGGGCAGCGTCAGCAGCGCGAAGAAAAGAGAAACTTCACCTGTAATTTCACCAGCCGTGTCAGTTAGCACTCTGCGCCACTGTCAGTCTGCATCTGGACGGACCGAGCTCGCGAGGCATGGGCGCTACTGCTGATTGGTTGGCGCGGTGAGACGCCTGGACATGCGGGAGTCAGCAGCCGGCCTGTCTCGACGCCACCTATACCCTCCCTGCCGACGCGATTCGAGACCCCTTTATTTAGTCTGACGACCTAATGCGAACCAGCCTCCCCCGCCCCGCGCGCACGGGTTTCTCTCTAGCACCACCACGTCGCTTCTAATGCGCGGCGATCTGCTAACGACTTCACGCGCGCAGCGCGGGGCTTTGAAGCTGAGCAAAAGCATCCCTACCCCCGGTCCGGCACGTCGCACCAACACGGGCTAATGCCGCCGCGATAGCCGTGTTTAGGTAACACCGAAACGCATCCCTCATGTGTCTGGTCAAGGTGTGAGAGCGGGTGGAGGTTATTAATAGCGATCGGTAGAGGAAGCACAATAGGGCTTCACCGATGCAGAGCTTTTTGAAAACAGTTCGCGCGCGAATGTGTCGGTTAAAGGAGAATAAATAAAGCCGCCTGTGTTAGCCCGGACGTGATGCTGGGTGCTCCTGGGATGACGACAACCGGCTATGATGCTGGCTTATGTTTTCTCTTCTCTGTTGAGTTGCTGCATATGTACCCGGTTCTAGTCGTATTGCGGTTACATTCGAGACTTCTTTGCCCTGCTTACCGGATCTTGCGTGCGATCCTGGGACACAACGGCTGTCGAATGGCCTTCTTGCTTTTTGCGTCCATGCTTTATTCGATACTGTACGTACGCACGTACGGTGTTATATAATGCTGGGTGTGTTACATAGCCGAGCATTTCGCAATAGCTGGCAGTGCGCAAGCATTGATCTATCGCCTCCTAGTCGGCGACCGATGAGCATCATGTCTTCACATGCACGAACGTCTGCGTGCGTCGCCGTGGCAACTCGACCTGTTGGTCTCCGCAGATGCCGCTCTGCTCCACCCGCCTTTTATCCGAATGTTAATCATCCGAGATGCGCCGAAAGCCAGATATACGCTGCTGATATCAGCTCGTCTGTGTGGCACCCGTGGCGCGTGTTTGCGCGTGGGAAATATTGCAGACTAACTAGCTGGAGTTGCTTGTCTGAAGCCACCACGTCCGTATCTAAGCTAGGCTGCACACGCTGGTGATGCCTCTCTCTCTCTCTCTCTCTCTCTCTCTCTCTCTCTCTCTCTCTCTCTCTCTCTCGTCGTCGTCGTCGTCGTACGTCTACGTCGTACGTACGTACGTACGTACGTACGTACGTACGTACGTACGTACGTACGTACGTACGTACGTACGTA